TATAAATTTAGCCTTACCGGGTACCTATGGAAGGGGGCCGACGATGTCCATTCCCCATTTCATGAATGGCTAGGGAGACAAGATCGAATGCAACAGCTTCCCAGGCTGGTGAATCATCAGAGCATGCCTTTGACATCCATCACATTTTTGTACGAACTCCTTCGCGTCCTTTTCCATGTCGATCCAGTAGTAGTCGGCTCTGATTATTTTCCGAATTAATGATTCGGCGCCCGAATGATCACAGGTGCCTTCGTGGACTTCCCTCAGAACATACTCGGTATCTCCTGGCCCTAGGCATATTGCGAGTGGGCCATCAAACATTCTCCAGAACAGGGTACTGTCTTCGGACAAGTTGAACCAGGTTGCCTTCGTACGCAGAGCCCTCGACTCCTTAGGATCTAAGGGCAGTTTTTCGGTCTTCAGATACTCTATATACGTTTTCTCCAGCCCCAAGTTAGGCTTGTTGAGTTTATCTCGGCGTGACCTTCTTCCACTACCGATCTCATGAGTTGTACTACCTCCCCCAAGTTGAACTCATCGTCGTCGACCGACGATCCCAAGTTAGCGAGAGCATCGGCCTCGCTGTTTTGATCTCGAGGCACATGTTGTAGGGTCCACTCCTTGAACCGATGTAACGTTACCTATAATTTATCCAGGTATCTCTGCATTCATTCCTGCTTGACTTCGAACGTCCCATTAACTTGGTTCGCCACAAGGAGGGAGTCGCGCTTAGCTTCGATGACCTCTGCCCCTAAGCTTTTGGCCAGTTCGAGACCTGCAGTCATGGCCTCATACTCTGCGTCGTTGTTAGTCAATTTTACAGTCCTAATAGATTGTCTAACTATATTACCCGATTGTGGCTTCAATTTGATGCCAAGTCCAGACCCATTTGCGTTCGAGGCACATTCTCTAAAGAGGGTCCAGATTCCAGAGAAAGTCCCCGAGTTCAACAACAATTCTCTTTTGACCTTGGGTACTATGTTCGGCGTAAAGTCGGCCAAAATTTGAGATTTTATACCGGTCCAGGGTCGATATTCGATATCGTACCCGTTTATTTCCACGACCCATTTGGCCAGTCGTTCTGAGAGTTTGGGTATATGCATTATGTTCCTCAATGGGTAAGTAGTTACAACATATATAGGGTGGCATTGAAGTAAGGTTTTAGCTTCCTAGAGGCGCTTAGGAAAGCGAGCGCCAATTTTTCTAGGTGAGGATACCTAGTTTTGGCCTCGCCTAGAGTCCTGCTAACATAATAGATAGGAAATTATGTACCTTCTTCTTCCCGGACCAGGACTCCACTTACCGCCACCTCGGATACTGCCAAGTATAGGTACAACTATTCATCTGCCTTCGAAGTGGGAAGAAAAGGTGGGCTCGAGAGGTACCATTTGAGTTCCTCCAAGGCTTTTTGGCACTCCGGAGTCCATGAGAAGTTATTCTTCTTCTTCAATAGTGAGAAGAACCGATGGCTCTTGTCGGAGGATTTTGAGATGAATCGACCCAAGGCGGCTATGCGATCAGTTAACCTTCGAACGGCTTTGATGTTGTCCACAACAATGATGTCTTTAATGGACTTGATCTTATCGGGGTTAATCTCGATCCCCCGATTGGATACCATGAATCTAAGAAATTTCTCAGACCCGACTTCGAACGCGCATTTCTCCGGATTCAGATTCATGTTGTACTTCTTCAATATGTTGAAGGTTTCCTGCAAATATTTTAAATGGTCCTCTGCTCGCAGGAACTTAACTAACATGTCGTCAATGTAAACCTCCATTGATTTTCCTATTTATTCTTCGACAATCCGATTTACTAGGCGTTGGTAAGTGGCACCGGCATTTTTTAGTCCGAATGGCATTACGTTATTGCAGTAGGTACCGAACTTAGTGATGAAGGACTTTGTTTCTGGTCGCCCAGGTCCATCCGAATTTGGTTATACCTAGGATAGGCGTCACGAAAACTGAGGATCTTGTGGCCGGCCGTCGCATCGATCATGCTATCGATGTTAGGCAAAGGGATAGAGTCCTTGGGGCATGCGTTATTCAAATCTTTATAATCTACACACATTCTTAATTTATTCCCTTTTTAGGGACTACCACCACGTTTGCTAACCAATCTGGGTATTTAACCTCCCGAATTGATCCTATTTTAAGGAGTTTAGATACCTCATCTTTGATAAATACATGTTTGATGAGGTCTTCTTTTTTGTTTGATCGGATGAAACTTCGGGTCCATGGCTCAGCTTGTGAGTGGTAATTTCCGGGGGGATCCCTATCATGTCAAGGTGGGACCAAGTGAAACAATCTGCGTTAGCTATAAGAAATTGAATGAGTTTTTTCCTGAGCTTGGGACTTAACCCCACGCCCAGGTATACCTTATGATCGGGCAAATGCTCGATTAGTACGACTTGCTCTAGTTTCTCGACCGTTGACTTGGTGGCATCAAAATCATCGGGAATTATGAAGGACCTGGGGACCCCGTGGTCGTCGTCCTTACATGTCCCCTGCTTCTCCGGTTCAGTCAAGACCAGTGTCGCTGATTGCTATTTGGTTCCTTCCTAGGCGACCGAGTTCGGATCTTTTGTCGGTGTAAGTGTGGATATCGGAATCACCTCTTCGACCACAAAAATTTTCTTTACGGCTGGTTGTTCTCCGTAGATTGTTTTAGTCCCTCCTGGCATTGGGAATTTTAACACTTGGTGCAGAGTCAAGGGTACTTCCCTCATGTTGTAGATCCATGGCCTCCCTAACAGGACGTTGTACCTCATATCGCCTTCGATTACATAGAAGTTGACTTCCTGGATGGTCCCGCCAGTGTTCACCGGTAATGTTATCTCCCCTTTGGTGGTTTCATATGCCATATTAAATCCGTTTAGAACTCGGACTGCAGGCAATATTTGATCTTGTAGACTGAGTTGTTCCACGACCCTCGATCTAATGATGTTGGCCGAGATACCTGGATCAATTAACACACGCTTAACTCAAGATTTATTTATGAAAACGGATATTACCAATGCATCTTTGTGGGGCTGCACAATCCCTTCTGCGTCTTCGTTGTTGAAAGACAAGGTTCCTTCGGGCACATAATCCTGAGTCCATTTTTCCCTTGTGATGGATACTTTGGTGCGCTTTAACATCCGCCCATGCGGAATGTCTACCCCACCGATGATCATGTTAATGACATGCTGAGGTTCTTCCTGCTTGACTTGTTTATTAGCATATCTATTCCTGAAATGATTCTTGGCTCGGTCGATCAGGAACTCTCGGAGATGTTCGTTATTGAATAATCGAGCTACTTCCTCTCTTAATTATCGACAATCCTTTATTTTGTGGTCGTGAGTGCCATGATATTTGCACATAAGATTAGGATCCCTTGGGGCTGGATCGGACTGTAGAGGTAGGGGCCATTTGGCATCTTTGATGCGTCTGATGGTAGACACGATGTCAACGGCGTCGGCGTTAATGTTGAATTCCAATAATCTGGGCGCTTCATTAGGCCCGATGGGCCTGTCAAAACTATTTTTACTCATGAGTCCCCCGGTTGTTTTAACCTCGATCACTCCTCCTCTTATTTCTCACAGGGCTTCGCCCATACCCGTTACCTATTCGGTCCTCGTTGTACGGTTGATAACGATCCTTGCTTGATCTTGGTTCACATTCAATGTCTCTCTTGACCATGTCGACGGCTCTAACGGGATAAACGAACCCGGAAGGGGCCCCAAGTTGATCATCTTCGACCCTGATTTTTGATTGATACCGGTTTTGCACGTTGGCCCAAGTAGCAGCTGGATACTCTACCAGATTTTTTTTTCAACTGTTGTGAGGCCAACGAGCTTCGAACATTGAGTCCCTGGGTGAAGTCCTGAACGGACCAATCATCCGTGACAGGAGGCAGGTCCACCCATTCCATTTGAAACCGGGACACGAATTCTCTAAGAATCTCATTCTCCCTCTGTTTCACTTTGAAAAGGTCTGACTTTCAAGTCTCGATCTTGATAGCCCCAGCGTGTGCTTTCACGAAGGAATCTGCAAGCATAGCAAATGAGTCAATAGAATTAGGAGGTAGGTTGTGATACCATATCATAGCTACTATTGACAGAGTTTCCCCGATCGTTTTCAGCAGGACAGACCGGATCTCGTCATCTTCCAAGTCATTCCCTTTTATGGCGCATGTGTAGGAGGTCACATGCTGATTTGGGTCGGTCGTTCCTGTTTACCTAGGAATCTTAGGCATGCGGAACTTCTTAGGGATAGGTTTCGGTGCTTCGCTCGGCGGGAAAGGTTTTTGAACAAACTTCTTGGAATCCACACCTTTTAATATCGGCGGTGCTCCTGGTATTTGGTCGACTCTGGAATTGTAGGTTTCCACTTTTTTGTTATTGGCTTCGATTTTCTTCTCTCCTGATTCTACCCGTTTTGTCATCTCCTCGAGCATTTTTATGATCTCGGGGTTGGCCCCCGACTCATTTTCATTCGGCCTTTCCGTACCCGTTCATTTCTGCGGTTGACTTCCTGCGACGGCTCGGGCTCAATCCTGCTTGGGGCGCGGCTTTGGTCCTGGAGCTGGGCTATTGCTGCCTATTGGGCCTGTAACATTTCGAATATCACCCGCAATTTGATCCTATCATCATCGCTGCCGTGTGTATTTTGTGCAACCAATCGGACTTCTCCGTGGATGCTGTTCTTAGGATCAGTAGGAAAATTTGTATTAATGGCCACATGCGAGCTAGCGTCGATCGGGTCTGCAACTGGAACTCCGTTAAGGTCAACGGGGGGCACCTTGTTACCTGGTGCCACATTGTTATTCTCGCCATGGTGGTCGAATTCAACATCCACGTTTAGAGGGGCAGCCTGGGAGTTATACATTTCAAACTTTAACCTGAAATCAAAGATACTCCAAAGAACAAGTGTAAAATAGGGTGTGTTATAGAAGTTTATATCAAATAACCACTATTATCCTTAGCCCCACGGTGGGCGCCAAAATGTTTACCCTCAAATCGGATGGCAATTGAATTTGTAAGTGGTTTTAAGGATACAAAGATTAATTTGACACAAAGCAATAAATTGGTTTAGATTAAACAAGTAAAGACGAAAAAAAATTCAAACCACACACATGGGATAATTTCGGCCTTAGTGGAATCTTTCCCCTCGATCCGGGCTTACGGTGACCAGCATTGATGAACAAGATAAGAGCTAATGACAGAGAGAAATAATAATATACTGCCTTGGAAAGCGTGTTACAACGTGTGTTGTGAATTATCAGACCCCCTTTATATAGTAGGAAAGTCCCACCCTAGGTACAATTCTATACAACAACAATAACAACCACCCAGTATAATTCCACTAGTGGGGTCTGGGGAGGATAGTGTGTGCGCAGACCTTACCCCTACCCTGGGGTAGAGAGGCTGTTTCCAAATAGACCCTCGGCATCCTTCCCTCCAAGAACTCCCCACCTATAGAAAGGTAAAAATCATCTGATTAACTGATTGTCAGTTCCCATCGATACGTGCCGAGATCCCCGCCGTGATATCTGGCCGGTCACGGATATTACGGCTTTCTGTTGGTTGTGCTCGATTGCTTGAAAATGTTCTTCGAAGTCATTCAAGGCCAGGACCGATCTCGAACCATGACCCCGATATTCTCGAGGGTGGGCGTCATGGTCCCGAACTCCGAATCAATGAGACCTTTACCTCGGTTTCGGCCCCTTGTTATCATATTTCGAGCTTGTCTTATCATGTCAGAGACTGGGGTATATCATGAGACCGATTTTACCCATATACAATGTTTTTATTTATGAAATATTCTGATAATAGAGATAAAATATGGCACTTAGTTTTCATTCTCGTTTTACATGTGTGCAAGCTAGTTCTCCATAAAAATGCCAACTATGACCAAATCATTATACTAATATAAGTAGAAAAACAATCGTACAAGAAAGATGCAAGTGGGTTGCTGCTTCTGATTTTCCAACTTAGTTTAATTTTAGCCATAGATAAATTGTTATAATGGTAGTGTTCCAATTAACATGCGCGTAATTCAATTATTTCACTGAATACATGTAACTCGCTCTGTCCCAATTGATGAAATGTACTTTGCCTTTTTTTTTTTTAATCTCAAAGAATGATATTTTTCTATATTTAGAAATAATTTAACTTTATTTTTCATTTTACCTTTATGAAATAATCTATAACTAAATTTCAAAAGTTTTTTTTTTCTACTTTAAACTCCATGTCTAGTCAAATACATCTTATAAAATGGGACCAAGAAGTAATTATCACCGAGCACAAACATGAGATAATAGTATGTCCACCAAAACTTAATCGGATAGATAAGAAAGCAATTCAGCATTTATCCACTTTTTTATGCCATAGATCTTTCTTTTATGCAACCACCCTAACTTCAATTTCTGTTTTCTGTTCTGATTTAGTCAAATAACTACTAGTATATCATTGGTCTCCTCCATACACCTCCCTTTTTTCCATGCCAATTAACTCCCTTTCCATAGATGTAGAATAAACAATGAGAAAAAGGGAGATCAACACTTGTCGATCAAGCTATTTGGTCAACAAGTTTGGTTTTATAAATGCTTGAGTTACAATCTTATTCAACTAATCTGCTTATTTATGTAACATTTGCATTTATGTAAGATTTTGCAACTCGTTGACTCCACGAGTTGGACAGAATGGAAGCTATACAACACCTTTGCTCACATCCAAAGAAAAGTTCCAAGCAATTACACAACACTTAAAAAAATTTATAGACAATTGACTTCATTGACTCAAGAACATTTTATATACTGACTGATCACCATTCCCAAAATCAGCATCTTCACCTCAGATGGATTACCTCAAATCACTGGCTGAAGTATTCTCCACAAATCTTGAAACACCTCCATCTTCAATCCAATTTATAGATGCAGCTCTTTCTTGTACAAGCCCACCCTTTGCACCACCTTACACAGATCCTAATCAAATATGCATAATTCGTAGGCACCTCATTTCTTTGCTTCAAAATTATCCTTCTTTAAGACCATCCATCGATACCTTTACACACGACGATGGCACCACCGCGAACTTACTTAATGCAAATGGAGAAATGCAAGTCTCTTCTTCAACCCCCGCAATTCCTCTTACCATTTGGTTACATGAAAGTTACCCTTTTATGGCCCCTATTGTCCTTGTGTCTTTAAATACTAGTTATCCAATTTATGACAACCATCCTTATGTGGACTCTTCAGGTTCTGTTTCTTCATTTTACCTAGTAAATTGGAAGTACCCTGGCTGCAACCTCTCAGACCTTGTGCACAACCTTATCAAGATCTTTTCACATAATCATCCCTTTTACTATTCAGCTCCTAGTGTTTATTCCTTTCACCCTTCTCTAGCTTCTAAAAGGGAGGCTGTGGACCGACTCTCGTGCACCCTTCATTATGACATGACTGAGTTACTGTCTAAGACACATGTAGAAGTGGAGGAGCTTTCAACACTTAGAGAACAAATGGTTAGAAGGGCTATTATTGCAGAAATTTCAGTTGATGAGCATGAAACTGAAATATCAGAATTGAAGGAAAGGGTGAAAATTTTGACAGACGAAGCGGATAAAGTATCGAGTTGGTTAAGAGTTAATGATCAAAGTTCATTTTCAGAACATCCAATTGAGGATGCATTTGAAGCCAGTGATGAGAATTCAAAGGTACTACTTGAATGTCTAGCAGCAGACAGGGCAACAGAGGACTTGATATACTCATTAGACAAAGTAGTTGAGCAAGGGGTAGTGAATTTAGGTACATATCTAAAGCAAGTGAGACTTTTGGCCAGAGATCAATTCTTTGGTAGAGCTAAGCTTGTGAAAATGGGAATATCACTCAAGTGGCTTGACTGAACAGTATATGATATTTTCACTCACTATTTAAAGCCAGCAAGCCCATATGTATAGAAAGCCCAAGTTGAATTCTATATGTTTACCTCAAGCTTTTTGTTATTTTGATATCCAAGTTGATGTAATGCATTTTATTACTCTAATGTCTACAGGTTCATTATCTTCTATCAAGTGTAGCTTGACTACATTATATCTTCAAATTTTCAACTCTTGAATACTCCGAAGGAGACAACCAAATTTGTTCGAAAGTTATACTGTGCAAATAGAGTAAAAACAATATCTGTTTGTACATATACATAAATCGTTGAATCTCCTTGACCTAAGGGAAGCTTTTAGTATAGTTGCAAAGGTAGTACAAAATTGTTTTATGTAGCAAGTTTGGATAGAATCCTCGGCTCCGCCGCAAGAAACGAGGCACTCTCAGCTGCACATGCCTACATAAAAGTTTCTCCATTCTCTATAGATAAAGAAATGCAACAACAACAACAACAAGGAAATGCCAGGGTTGGAAACTGGAATCTTGGTTCTGTATCTATAATGTTGGGAGAATCTAGAGAGCACCTTTTGATTGACTTCCAAGGAAAAGTTCCAAGCTACTACAAAACACTTAAAAAACTTTAGAAACAGTTGACTTAGTTGCTTCAAGTATCTTTTAATCTTCTGAAAAACCACCATATCATTGGCATGAAATATATAATAACTGATTAGCACTCCTAAAATCACCATCTTTGACTTCAAATGGATTACCTCAAATCACTGCCTGACCTTTTTCTCCACAAATATAGAAACACCAACATCTTCAATCCAATTTATATATGCTGCACTTTCTTGTACAAAACCCCTTCACCATTTGACACAGATCGTAATCAAATATGCATAATTCGTAAGCACCTCATTTCCTTGCTTCAAGATTATTTCTTTTATACCTTCCATAGATACCTTTACACACGACGACGACACCAGTGTCAACCTACTTAACGCAAATGGGGAGTTGCACATCTCTTTTTCCACCCTGTTTTTCCCCTTACCATTTGGTTACATGAAAGTTACCCTTTTATGGCCCCTATTGTCCTTGTGTCTTCAAATACCACCTATCCAATTTATGACAACCATCATCTTGTGGACTCTTCAGGTTCTGTTTCTTCATTTAACCTAGTCTGTTTCCACACAACGATGAAACCACCAGTTTCTGCGTTGGAACTTTTGATCCATTCTGGAATAGAAAGTAACATTTATATAAGAAAAATAACTACGCCTCAATTCAAATTGGAGTTCAACATAAATTAAATAGTTTTATGTTGACTGTCTGCCTACTGCAACCTCCCTTCTTCATCTGGACTTAAGACCAGCAATGCCAGCTAAAAAAACATACTACCTTTAAACGAACTCCAAAAATTTATTGGCCTCCTCTGTAAAGATCAGAGGGAAATGGCAAATAAAAACAAGCTTGAAGACTTTTGGCATCGAAGAGATATGCACCGTTTGCAATGTTCACGTTTTTACTTGTGTACGGGTAAAATCGGGGGTAATGTCTACCCCGATTTTCCGGTGAGCAAACGGAAGAAGGGTACGGATGCACGAGATTGTAATCGAGTATAGAGACCCTTCATATCGAGATCCAGGAAGAGTGAACGATGTGCTCGTCATCGGTTATGCCAAGAATGAGTTCTAAGACCTCGGTAAACACAATGAACGGTTATACACGACGAATAGGGGGCCGTGATATATCACGGCGCGGATCCGCTCGATGTCGGTTATGGATCAATCATTAACGAGAAAGGATGATTTTTTTTACCTTTTTAAGACTTATACTAGGGGTGAAACTCTCATACTATATAAAGGGGAAGTTTTTCTTTTGTAACACACACTGTAACACGCGAATCAAAGCAATACGTTTATTTTCTGCCTTTTAGCTACTGATAGAGTTCTTGTTTATTTATCATGTTTCTTCATTTACGATTGGGCTCGAACCGAGGGTCCAATCGAGGGCGAGGTCATTGTTCAAATCTAAGTTCAGGCTTGGCCATAACATCGCAATTGGTTTGATTGATTATTTCGTCTTTAATTCATTTACGTAATATTCTTAATTATTTGTGTTGAATCAAATCATGTATCATTAAAATCGCGTATAAATTTAATTGTTATCCAATTCTGGGTAAACATTACTGATATGCTGTTTTGAGTCAATCGAAACACACACCCCTGACCCCACCCCTACCCATCGCTCCCCCCCCCCCCCCTTATTTTCTTTGTTGCTTTCTGTTTTGGCCTTGAAAACAACAAAACAAAAGAAACTGATATGAAGGAAAAGTAAGGAACCATAGTAATAGGAAAAGGAACAAGATGAATACCCTAAATAATAGTTTGATAGTTAGAATTGGATTGTTCATAATGATAATATAAGATCAGAGTATCCATGCTTAAATGCGCGCAGTCCAATCTAACGTAAAACAACACATAGTCAAAAAGTAGGCAATTTTTACTCAAATAAAAATAATTTTGCCGGGGACTTAGGCTTGAACTCGTGCTCGTGCCTTTTTAGTTTAGCGTCTAACAGCTTGTTTGGAGGGTTGTTATCCATTGTACTGTAGTGTATTGTTATCCCAAAATAATGTTTGTTTTGATTGTTTATTTAAATTGGATGTATTGTATTGTTAAATCCATTGTTCCGGAACAACCAAAAACCTCATTTAATGAAACAACCGATTTGGTGTGGTGGGATCGTTTCCTATTTTCTTTTTCAATTATGCCCTTACTTATTACTCTATAATTCTATTTTTTTATTTTTTTTATTTTAACTCCAAATCTCCAACCTAATTGACCTACTTTATCTTCTTCCATCTTTTCTAGAGTTGGTTTGCCCCGTTCTTATTATCCAAGTCTCTGTTAAATCTTTTGTCTCTTTCCATCGTTATAATTAATTTTTTTGTTGCTAATATTAGTTAACCTTTTTTTCCAGGTTTTTGCTCTTGTTTTCAAGCTACATAATTAATTATAAATTAGTAGAAAGAGGTTGTCTTAAGTTATCTTTATGAGTAGTTCTTGATAAATTTTATTTAAAACAATTGGGGGTATTTTAGTGAACTTATCAATTACAGTACAGTATGATACTGTCAAATCAAACAACAAAATGTTATTTAATAACAACAAAAAATACAATCTATTCAAACATTGTATCCATAAAACGATACAGTATAATACAGTACAATACAATACAATACATCATAAAACGATAGATAACAATGATCCAAACGTAATGTAAGATTAAAGTTGGGCCTTTCCATACAAGAACTTTGCGAGGAAAAAAATTAGCACGCACTCACAGATACTAATGATTTTTCCTATTTGGAAGCAACGAATAGGTCCGGGAACGCTTCGATCTCGCTAACATCCACGGGAAACTCATCAATTTCATCGCGCCATGGATTCATCTCATTGCGGTCAATGGATCGGGTCGCCCTCCAAATCACACTGCTACACTTGAAACCCGACCCGAATGCAATCTGCCACAATGCGTCTCCCTTTTTAACCCTACCTTTCGCCTCCGCATAAGCCACTTCGTACCAGATCGAACTGCTGGAACTGTTACCAAACCTGTACAATGTCATTCTAGAAGCTTCCATTTGTTCATCGCTAAATCCCAATTTCCTCTGCAAGTCATCCAGTACAGGTTTTCCGCCGACGTGTGGGAAGAAATGATTAATGGATTTGGAGAAATCAGGATTATAAGGCTCCACTTTACTTCCCGTGCGGATGCGTCGCACTGTAATGTTCATCAAGTAACGGAATTTTTCAGATAGAGGAAGGACTAGGGGAGCTACAGTGGATATGTTTGATCGAATGGTTTTTATTGCGGCGTATAAAAGATCCTTGTTAATTGTGATTCCTCGATATCCTTCCTTATCTTCTTCCATGAAAATGCAGTTGTAGGATCGATCATTGTCTGCGGTTTGAGAACGGACGGTGCGGATGAGCTCATACTTGGAGGTGGTTTGATCGGACGGTTTGTTGGAAAGGAGGAGAGCGACCCCACCGACACGGAATATGCAATTACTTAGCAATTTTGACCGATCATTGCCCTCGTATACGCTTCCTGTAGTGCTGTCGGTGGTGACTACTAGTGCACAAGAATTATCATGCACCTGCGCGATAATACATTATGATGAGTTTAACTTTCATATACAAAATTAATTACATATTACGTTACTTAAAAAATAATTGTACATAATTATTCATGATTAGTGGTCGGAAGAATCAGATTACATAAGTTAAATCTATTATAAATTGATAAATGAAGCTATTGCATATCCAAAATTTTAAAAACATGAACGCCGAAAATCCGAGTTTCCGAAAGGGTTATTTTTTATTTAGGAAGTTAAAAGTCAAAACAAAGACTATAGAAAGAGAAGGAAAAAAAAAAGTAAAAAGGAAAACGTGTGTTTAATTAGAAAAAGCGACAGGGGTATGGAGATTTAACCCTATTTATTGATTAAAATATATTTAAAAGAAAAAAGAATACGGGGATCGAGCCCCTGACTAAAAAGTATAAGATTCACCTTTTATCAGTGCACTAAAATGATCACTTGAGCTTGAGTTCACCCATATTAATTTAAATATTTGAGCAGAAAATTATTAATGCTATACATAACTTAGGGAGAGAAGGATGGGTTCATGTACATCCGCCCCGAACATGACTTCCCCGAGAGTTTGCAATTTTGCATTGACTAATACACTTCTAATATCAATTGAAGGTCTAAGAATTTAATTCGACTCTTCTAATTTTAAAGTTTTTCTTAAAGTTAATTTGTAATAATTCATATTTCCTACTTTTCAATTTAGGTGCAATGTTTGACTAGGCACAATATTAAAGAAATAAATAAAACTTTTGGAACTTGTGGTTTAAAAATAAGTTTTAGATATTTATGGTTATAATCTCATTAAGGATAAATAAAAAGTTTAAAGTAAATAAAAAGTTTTTGAGAGTGACTAAAAACGAAAGCATGACAAGTAAATTGAGACGGAGGAATTAATTAGATATATAGTACTGATCGGGAAACCAATATAGATGAGTACTTGTGTGTTCAAGAGATTGCAGTAACTTTTAAATTTTTTACACCTCCAAGTTGTTCCAAGAAGAATGACAAAATTAGAAGTATAAGAGTTAGAATATTTGATTTTCAGTATGGTCCAGACGATTTTTCAGTATCTGTGTTTGGCCAAACTTTTAGAGGAAAAAAGTGCTTATGAGTAGAAGCAGAAAAAAGTAGCTTCTTACTAGAAGTACTTTTGAAAAAAATACATTTAGAAGCATTTTTGAAAGGTCGGTCAAACACTAATTGCTGCTTAGAAGTGCTTTTCAAATTAATTGGCCAGGCACAAACTGTTTCTCACCAAAAATACTTTCGAAAAAAACACATTTGAAAAAACAACACTTCTCAAAATAAACTGATTTTTCCAGCTTGGCCGAACGCCATTAATTAATAATGGAAAATTATCAAATTATTTTCCAACTTTAACATATATCCAAAAAAGAGTTACCAGTTGCAAGAGAAAAAGAGTATATAAGATGAAGAAGGGTACTAAGATCGATGTACTATAGCAGTTGAGAGCAGAACCTTGAACAGATTTTGGACAAGTCCTAAGGCGACAAGACCAGCGCTGCACCCCATTCCTGTAATATTATAGCTGCGGATATCATCTCTGAGCCTGTAACGCTTCACTATTACACTGGACAATGATGGCATAATATTGAAGACACCAGACACACAAACCAATATACCTATTTCCTCACATTTAACTCTAGTTTTCAGAAGAAGCTCATCTATGGTTCCGAAAATCCCCATCTCCACTTCTTCTTGAGCAACTTCCCTGCTCATATCCGGAGGCTCCGTTAACAATCCTTTAGAAATGTACGTTTTATCTCCTAAGCCAGATCTTTGTAAGATCCTGTCCATGAACTCCAGTGAATCTTTGTTAAACTTAGAACTTCTGCTGCTTTTACCAAGAAATATTTGTCTGCAAATTTGCTGAATTTTTGGGGGCTTGTGACATGCAAAATCAACACGGAAAGTTCTTGATCTGGTGTTTTTGCGGAGAATGTACCAAAATGATACTAGTACTAGTATTCAAGTTGGCACTGAAATGTGAATAAGCTCAGGGTATAGCTGATCTTTCATTATGATCAATTCCATGAGATGGACTATTGAAAGCATGGTACAAAATCTGGTGAGTATCAGTATTTATGCTTAGCTAGTTATAACCTTAGCTTGTTGATGAGTATCTCCACCTTTTTTTCCCTTCTCTTTATAGTACTCCACTACGTAACATTTAAGTCTAGATATGAAAAAACAGGGACTGTACGGTATGGCCAAGAAATGTCGATCGCCTCTAAATGAGGAAGGACTGTTGCTTAAGGAAGGTTGTGCTAATATATAAATATACTTGATGTCAACCAATTCTATCATCATCTGAATCCCAAACTAGTACAAACTTATCCCTACATATATAGAGATATAAGTCTCTAACTAATCGCAAGTACTTATGCCAATGCCCGACCTAATGTAGGTGTAACATCAATAATTAGTCTTATAAATCTTGTTGAAATATATGGGCATCGTTTAGTAGTTTAAGTTGTCTGAGAAAATATATTTTTATTAATCTAAAAATATCTTCAGTATAGGTATAAATTTTATTAAAATGAATTCCATAAAATAATTTGAATTATATTTTAAAGTTCAAGATATATTGGTCCAAATAAATATTGTGGGCAAATATAATTGAATTAATTATATAAGTCCAATATATATAAATTAAATAAATAAGTCTTAATCCATTGGGCTAGCAGTGATGAGCCCACTTCATTAAGCCCAAGATGTCATCTTCCTAGAGGCCCAGTTTGGTGCCACGTGTCAAATGACGTGGTGCGCCAAGTCAAATGGAAAAACCAATAGGATCATGCTACGTGTCAAAATGACAAGGCATGCCAAGTCACATTAAAAAGCTAATGAAATCGAGCCACGTGTGCAAGTGACATGTTCTGGCTAATCAAATGCGGTCATGTCACACTTTAATTTGATTGGTCGGAAAGAGTTTGTTCTTATCACAACTCCTCCCTTCCACAACTATAAATAGGGGTCTTCATAACCCAGAAAAGATACCAGAAGTTATAACAAGCAAGAAAGAGCTCGTGGATCAAACACTGCAAATTCCTCCACAAGTTTCAAGCTTCAAGCAATCAAGTTCAAGCTCAAGAACTAAGAACAAATCAAGGTCAAGTTCAAGCTCAAGATTAAGATCATCTTTCGTGGCAACAACTACATATTTAAGATCAAGCTCAAAGGCCCTTGAATTTTTTAACAATTGGAAAGAAGAACTAGAGGATTCATAGAGATTGTAACACTCAAATATTTAAAATAAAATACTACGATTGTTGCAATATTTTTCGGGCTTGATTTTATTTTCTTGATGCAATTTATTGTCTATAAATTCTGGCATGCCCGGTGGGACAATCTCTCCCTCTCATCTCAACTTTTCAATCACCAAAGTTCAAGAACATCGAAATGGCTTCAAAGAAAACCAACTCCAGTTCAACTTCCACCAAGGCTGCTAATTCCAGGTTCTATGCTGATGTTGAAAACATACTCGAAGTTACCTTTGGAAGCTTTGGACCAGTTACGAGGAGCAAAGCAAGCTCGTTAGGACAACAAGCACCCCAAGTGCCGTCCGTATCTACCCCTGTTTTTGGATCTTCATCCTCAAAAGGACCAAGATCTTCCACAAACGCACCCGAAGGAAGAAGCGATGTTGCTGAAAAGATCAGGAAAACTCTTGCTTTGCTTGACCTCTCCGGATCCAAGCACTCTGCCGTGAAGGAAGATGATGGTGCTTCAAGTGATAGATCCTCCCCACTTACACCACATACCATGAGCCAATCAAGGATCAATCTGTGTGACAATCCATGCTACTCTCTATCGTCCGCAACAATCATGCAAGCCATGGTGACAAACACTTCATCTGTGGAGGACAGTTGGCAAACTTGACGCAAGCAATCGTTGGCTTGACCAAATGCATGCAAAATCAAGATGCTAGAATTGACAAGCTAACAGACAGGGTGGGAATCTTGATGGAAGAAGAATCCACCCATGCATCTGGCAAACTCCCAGAAGTTCAAGAGATTGATCCTCCCCCACGACAAGTTGCATCCACTAAGGAAATTCCAGTCTCTTCGGAAGGGATGATTCCAATCAATCAACTAAATTAGTTCATTGAAGGGACTATAAAAAACAAATATGAAGTCTCTTCCAAGTCCTCCTTTACCTACGCAAAGGCGTACACTTCTAGGATCAATATGTTGAAGATGCTTGCTGGGTATCATCCTCCAAAATTTCAACAGTCTGATGGCAAAGGCAATCCAAAGCAACATGTGGCGCACTTTGTTGAGACATGCAACAATGCTGGGACTAATGGAGATTACCTCGTCAAGCAGTTAGTCCGCTTATTAAAAGGAAATGCTTTTGATTGGTACACAGACCTCGAGGATGGATCTGTTGATAGCTGGATCAACTAGAGCAAGAATTCCTCAATCGCTTTTATAGCACGCGACGTACTGTGAGTATGATATAACTTAAAAATACTTGTCAATGAAAGGATGAACAGTTATCGACTTTATTAATCGTTGGAGGAATGCATCCCTCAACTGCAAAGATAGGCTTAGTGAAGCTCCGGGCATAGAGATATGCATCCAAGGCATGCATTGGGGACTACGCTACATCTTGCAAGGTATCAAGCCTGGAACATTTGAAGAACTTGTGACTCGTGCCCATGACATGGAGTTGAGCATGGCCTCCGCTAGAAATGAAAAGTTGCCTATCTATGAGCCTCACAAAGGGAACGACAAGCAAGAAGTCAGGAAATGAGGCAAGTTCGTACCCAATCTGAAAACAAAGAAGCTATGAATGTCAACACATCACGTGTGAAGTTCATAATGAAGGTGAGCAAGAAGCAGAACATGAAATCCACTTCTTTTCAAGATAAGCCAAGTGGAAAGTTGACTCTAAAAGAAATGCAAGAGAAGGAGTACCCATTTCTGGATTCTGATGTGCCAGCTACTTTTGAAGAACTCCTCGAGTTAAATCTCATTGAGCTTCCGGAGATGAAGCGGCCAAATGAAGCTGGGAAAACAAATGCCAAATTACTGCAAATACCATCGACTTGTGAGCCACCCTCTGGAGAAGTGCTTTGTCTTCAAGGACAAAGTTATGGACTTGGCTCGCGAAAAGAAGATCGTGCTTGAAGATGAGAAAGCAAGTGCAAACCACGTCTCTATCACTTTTGGCTCATTCAGTCCAGATGAATTATGTGGTTTTAAAGAAAGTAAAGATGAAGAATTACTGGAGAACAACAAAGCTGAAGTCAATCAACATGATGATGATGAAGGTTGGATGTTGGTGACTCGTCGTAAGCACCACAGAAGGAGCCCAAGAAAAGAATCAGTAGAACAACCAACAAGGAAAATGATGGTAAAAAGACCAAGGAGATGGAATCCAGTTAAGCACTTAAAGAGAGTAAAAGTAGAGGTACGCCATTCTCAAAAGACACGAAATCCAGTGACCTTGGAGGAGTTTTTACCAAGTTGGTTCCGCACGAAGATTTCCCATGAGGGTATCGATGACTCTTGTTGCCATGATGACAAAGGGGAAGAAAAGAGTGATGACCTACAGTTGGCACCATCTTCGGAAAAGCTCATCGAGTCCACTCCTCAAGTAGTTAATGCTTGTGAGAAAAAAGTCACATTCAGAAATGACGATCTTCTGCTATGTGACACTCTTCATAACCGCCCATTGTACCTGGTTGGCTATATGCGTGATGAAAGGGTAAATCAAATTTTGGTTGATGGAGGATCCTCAGTGATCATTTTGCCTATTCGCACTGTGAAAGAACTTGGTATTCCCATGAACAAACTCTCAGAAAGTCGTGTGATGATCCAAGGAATCAACCAAGGGGGGCAAAGAGCCATAGGCGCGATCAGGCTGGAAATCAGGCGCGATAAGGTTGGAAATCACCATTGAAGATATGCAATCAAGTGTATAGCTACATGTGATTGATGCAAAGACTTCATACAACGTCTTGCTTGGAAGGCCTTGGATACACGAGAATAAAGTAGTTCCATCTACCTACAGTGAATGTTTAAAATACTACGAGGGTGAAGTCGAGAAGAAGATAGTTGCTGATGATGAGCCATTCACCAAGGCTGAGTCACACTTCGCCGATGCAAAGTTCTACTTGAAGAACCGCATTGTGAAGGAGCTAAAAGTTGATGATGGCATGAAAAGCAAGAATAACGAGCCCACAACTAAAAGAGAAGAGGTGACTGCTAATGAAGCCAAAGCTGTTATTGAGGAGGTACAACCCAACGCGAATAAATCTTATAGAGGGAATATTGTGTCTTATGGCAAGAAAGTAAATCCTGCCTCCAATATGTCCCTAAAAGAAAGAAAGATTAAGGTGAATCATCTAATCTCCAAGCTAACATGCTAAAGGAGTTAACTTTTCCGGTCAAATGAATTGAGGCAGTAAAGTCGTCCTCAATGCCGCTTGCAGGGTTTGTGGCCCAAAATCATTTGCAGAATGTGGCACTCCCTACAAAGCGAACAGATGAAGGTTTTGATCCTAACGCTTACAAGCTATTTGCAAAAGCTGGATACAATCCTAATAAGCCGTCAAAGTTAGGGAAGCTACCATCAGAAGTTGCGACGAGACAGCCACATGAAGGTTTGGGATACAAGCAACCGTCACCAGTGCACATCTCCATAAGAAGGGCGAACAACAATTATATCACTGTAGAAGATGAATCGGCCCCTTCTAACAAGCCTTCTATCTTTGACCGACTTGGATAATCAACTGTGAGAACTTCCGTATTTGAGAGATTGGGTCCATTAAAGAAGGGGAATAAGTT